ACATCGCAGCATTCCTCATGTGTGCGTTCAATGCAGTGTCAGGAGATCTGTTGGCAGAGAGCAGAGCCAAGAGCCAGAAGTGCAGGTGATGCTGTCGGGACTCCTCGTGGCCTCGTCAGAAGCGGAAATAGCGAGGAAAGAGCAACTTATGCCTTGCACGCTTGTGGTCCATGTGGCGGTACTTTACTGCGCTGCAGCAACCGTGGCAGGGGGAATCTAGTGCAGTTGAGTGCCAGTGCTCTTGGTGCAGTGCTGTGAAGGTTGGACGGCGAGCAGTGTAGTGACTGTAGTGTGTTGCCTTGTGCGTGCCTCAATGTTTCAGGAAGATGACTGCAATGGGCTGCCGGTATCACGATCGTTTCAGGGAGAAAAGCCGACCTTGCCCACTATTTTCGGGTTGATGCCCATAAAACGCGCAGAGAGACAGGGACTGAGAGCGAGACAGAGAGAGAGATAGATACAGGGTAGCCGGAAACCTAGATGGATCGAAAACTGCTGTGACCTGGCCTGCGTGACCCAACCTAAACCCTGACCCTAACCCATAAGCCCTAAACCCTCCGCCGATGCGTTCGGATCTGGTCATCCTGCGCCATGGGTAGCCCAAGGCTCAGCCTCTCAGTCGTTGGCGCCCTCCTTACGAGGGCTTCAAGAGACCATGTCTTCATTCACTGAGCCGGACGGCGCGAGGCAGAGCAAGATGCACAAGTCTTTGAGGTAGTCCCTCGGCTATTTCGCATGAGACCAAACAGCAACGGACAGACTGTGGAACAGGCGGCCCACAACTGAGCTGCAACACAACAACAGGTGTGATTGAACGACAATGTGCTCGTGCGTGGGTTCAGATGAGCTTGTGTAATATGGTGCATGTACGGCGTGACAGGGTACTGTGCAACAACATGAGGCATCATCCATGTTCGGACTGATAGATCTTTACGGACGGAATGGCGTGTTGCGCCAGCAAGTCTCCGGTCCGAACACCCGTGAACTCGAGCTCATAAGGCTCATGTTCTACTGGGCTAGCCGACAGCTCACCCACGGCAGGCCGCGGAGCCCTATTTGTGTCATGAGGTCCTTGCGGGTTTATCGAAAGGGTTTCGCTGCATGTAACGTGCCGAAAGATGTCCCAAATTTGCCACTGTTTGCCAACAACTGGAGAATTGCGTAAATATCAGACTTATCGTTCACATGTACGTACCCTCGGTTACGTGCGCACGTATAGGCATGTACGTACGCACACACACACACACACACACACGCACACACACGTATGTATGTACACATACACACAAATGCAAGTAGTCGGTTCAACTTCAAATAAGTAAAGAAGTAGATAACCACACGAATACATAGGTAAACGGTACACAAACACAGACATAAGCAAACAAATACAGAAACAAGCAAGCAAGCCAGCCAGCAAGCAAGCAAGCAAGCACGCAGGCAAACCAACAAACCAAGAAGTACGCACGCAAGCAAGCAAGCAAACAAACAAGCAAAGCAACACACACCTGAATTTTGTAACTATACACAGCAAAATGCACATAAAATATGTATGCATATGTAATTATGTGTACATGTATATGTATATGTATGTGTAAATGTATATTATGTATCATTGTGATTATTATCATAATTGTTTTGATTATTATTATGATTCTTCTTCTTACATATATATATATATACATATATATATATATATATATATATATATATATATGTATGTATATGTATATGTATATGAATATGTATATGTATATGTATATGTATATGTATATGTATATGTATATGTATATGTGTATGTGTATGTGTATGTGTATGTATATGTATATGTATATGTATATGTATATGTATATGTACATGTATATGTATATGTATATGTATATGTATACACCCGCGTTTATACACAAACACAGTGTATATGTATGTATATATATATATACATACACACACATATATATATATATATATATACACATAGGTCTTGCTCTTGTTCACCTTGTATCTCTGTGTTCAGGTTAGATTCTAGTTAAATGATTCCTTTTGATCTCCTTCGCTTTTCGAGGGAGTACTTTGTGTCGGTCTTCCGGAATTCGTGAGAATTCGTTAGAAAGCCAACCCTGCCCACCCTAAAGACGGACTATATTATTTTTCCTTCTGTACCTTGTCAGGAATCGCGAGGCTTTGGAGCTCACCAGTAGTGGGAGTGAAGAGTTCCCTTCAGCGTTTACATAACGAACTTGCAGTTTCAGGGCAATTCATGCAGGCTGCGGCCGCCTGCAGCGTCTTGGGTCTCAGCCTCGGATACCAGCGTACGAACTTCCGAGAGTGCCGCTAGCCTGTTGGGGCGAGGCTGTTGGGAAGGGTAGCTGTGGGTCTGGTCAGTGAAGATCGACAGCTTCGAGACTCTAGGTTCCTAGGTCTTGCGGGTAGCCGCTTAGGTCTTCCCAAACCCTGAGGCACTGAGTCATCGCGAATTGCCTTAAAGGTTTAGGGATCATCTCAGCATAGTAGGTCCCCGTTGCCCTCGAAGAGATGCAAGCCGCCCGAGGCTTGCGTCCTCAAAGCTGCAGAAGATTGGGCCATCGCTTGTCCCCCCCAACCCCCCTCTCCTAGACCCGAAGCGTTTTGGCCCGTACGGAAGCAACAACGTCCGTCGTCGACATGAAGCTCGAGAGGTAGGAGAGCCATCTTGCCTGCCGCACCTCATTCCAAAGCCTCAGTCCAGTAAGGCAATGCCACGCTGCGGCCTCAGAGGGCACCGGTGTTGCGAAGCCTTCTGAAGTTGGAGCAGATTTTGGCACATTGGTTGAGCAAAAAAGACTTCCTTGCAACAAGGGGACCACCCGAAGGTCTGCTCCTGTCGAACAACCAAGATACAGAACCGTTGCTTCTCGAAGGAACACTGCGATCCTTGCGAAGACGATGGCGCGGCGGCAGCCGACCTCGCCTCCGAGCATCCGCTGCTTGCGAAGATGCAACAGGAGCAGCATAGGCAGTAAAGGGCTAAGGCTTAGGTTGCTGGCGACTAGCCTTGCTGGAGGCGCAGGGCTGTAAGCAAACGACCTGCTTCTTCCTCTTGCCACTACTACTAGTACTACGACGACGACGACGACGACGACGACTACTACTACTACTACTACTACTAATCGCCGACTGCGCAGTAACTGCTAATTACTAACTACCAAACTAGTGCCTACTTACTAATAACTACGAAAAACGAACTAGGGACTTTAACTTACTACTTACTATGTACTAGTTCGTAACTACTAATGATCAACCACGAAGTACTAACAACTTACTACTGCTGCTACTACTACTACTACTACTACTACTACTAGGACGACGACTATTACAACTACTAGTTCTAGTACTAGTACAACTAGTAACGAGTACTAGCACTAGCGCCACCCCTACCACTTCCACCACCACTTTCACGACCACTACCACTACCACTACCACTACTTCTTCTACTTCTACTACGACGTACGTACGTACGTACCTACTACTACTACTACTACTACTACTACTACTACTACTACTACTACTACTGCTACTGCTACTGCTACTGCTACGGCTTCCGCTACCGCTACTGCTACTCCTCCTCCTCCTCCTCCTCCTCCTACTACTACTACTACTACTACTACTACTACTACTATTACCACTAGTAGTAGTACTGCTACTACTACTACTACTGCTGCTGCTGCTGCTACTACTACTACTACTACTACTACTACTACTACTACTACTACTACTACTACTACTACTACTACTACTACTATTACGACCACGGCTACGATAACGACTTGAGCGACGACGACGACCACGACTGGTATTACCACCATTACTAGTGCTGCAGCTGAAGCTGCCGACGCTGCTACTGGTACCGCTGCTACTGCTCCTAATGCTAGCGCCGCTGTGATCAGCTTCTTCGCCACCACCTCGACAACTGGACGATGACGAACTACCACTCCGAGAGGATGATGGCGACGATAGTGACGACGAGGACGACGATGGTGGCCTTTGGTGGTGGTGGTGATGATGATTTTGCTTTGCTTAAGATTCCGTCGACGGGTATGACGATGACCTGCAACCTTAGCCAAGCGTATCGTGACTATTGTGGGTTGTGGTCATACTCGTGATTCAAGGATTCCTGTGGTTCTTGGTTGCCAATGTCTATATACGCAAGCATCACGGTTGCCGTGCTCTGAGAAAGGAGCAGGACGGTGGCGCCGCTACCCCGAGTGAGCACCTCAAAGCGATTGAGTTCATGTGACGGAAGTCACCGTGACTGTGGCTCGTGCAAGTTCAAGCTGTGATGAGTCTGGCTGCACATCACGTGCCTGATACAAGCTGGGAGACATAGCTGGATTGTAGAGGGGGTCTACAAAGGCAGTCGGGTTCAAAGACGGCTTCCACACGCACACAGAAAAATGTGGTAGGAGAAGGTTGGCACAGACAAGAAAAGCGAAGTGGGATTGGCCACGGAAGCTTCAGGAACACCCCGTGGTCCTGCTCCACCGTGGGTGCTACAACAAGAAGAGCGGCGGGTGCGCAGCTTCGTAGCATGGCTTTGCTATGGGGAACTTGAAGCAATGTACTTGTTTTCGGTAATGATGACGATAGTGGAGACATGTTTCTCATCTTCATCTGCTCGCATTCGCCGTTGTTTGGCATCGAGCATAAGGTGACTTACCATGTTTCTACTTTGCCCTGAAAGATGCTCAGCTTGGCGCAGTGTTACTGCTTTCATCACATGCATGAGGGAACCTCCGTAGTTCTCACATTTCACGAAACCAGTGACATTGTTTCAACGGAATCCTTGACTGCAAGGTGCAGCTCATAAAATGGCTGAATGCCGACCAACTGCCTGTGTGGACTGCCCCAATCGTTTTGTCGAATACCCAACAGGGTGAAGTGAGCTATATTGCAGACAGGCATATAGCGAACGAGACTGAAACATGAGAGTGAGCTCATGAGCCTCTACTGCCATGTACAGCTAGCTGATGTGTGGGTCGTTCCAACCACAATGCCAGCCGTCACGGCAGCCAGAGGTGCGGTTCTTCTTGTTATTGTGTTGTGTTTTCTTCTTCTGTGTATCCTTGTTATTCTTGCCGTTGTCGATGTTTGGTGTTGCTGCTGCTACCGCTACTGCAGCTGCTGTTGTTGTTGTAGTTGCTGTTGCTGTCACTGTTGCTGCTGTTCCTGTTGCCGTTTCTGCTGTTGTTGTTGCTGCTTGTGTGGTGGTCGTCGTCGTCGGTCGTCGTCCTCCGTCTTCATCGTCCGTCGTCCGTCGTCGTTGTCGTCGCATTGTGGTTGCTGCAGAGCTTCTAAAGCTGTCGATTGTTCAAAAAAGTGAACTCGACCCCAGGCTGCGGATCCTGTAGATGAGCCATGACCTGCAGGTGGATCGCACGGCGACCGGCGCAACACCACCCCGGTCCCCGACCCCACCGCGGTCTTTGCCACCAGGTGCAACTTGTGGTCAAGAGAGCTGTTGCAAGTATTTAGCGTTGAAGCGACAAGAGTCTTGGAGCAGTGCCATTGCAGGAGTGCAGGAAACATAGTTCCAGTGTTGGCAAAGAGGCTTGTGTAGATTAAGACCACGATGAGCCTTCGCTGTTTTTGCGGAGTGCAGGCTTGCCAGAAGATGACGTGAACTCGGCATGGTTGGATGGAGGAACTGGCGCAGGATTTCTCTTATGCCTTGACATGGAAGCTCTAGTCACGAAGCACTCAATCCACCACGGGCCAGGCAAAAAACTCCGACAGTGTGGTGACTCTGGCGGGTAGCTTCGGTGCAGACTTCCTCCAGGACGCGCTGGCTGTGCGCCCGACAGCCATGACTCTGAGATCAAACTAATTCAACTGCTAGAGAAGGGCCATCAATGTCCTTTAGACGCAAATTGCGTGTTTTGTGCATATGTGGGGAAACTGTGCGATGCAAAGTGTGCTCTTGAAAGTGGTCGGAAGCCTCGTGACAGAGTTCATGCCCTGCTGCAGAACATCGTGTGCTTTACCGCAGTCAACACAACGTGGCCCTGCATCGAAGGACCTGTTCCGGACCGTACGGCAAGGCGAGGCAGTTGGAAGTCGGCTGTACATCCGTATTGGACAGGAAGAATGGCCCTTTATTGTCTTTCGAAAAGTACCGGGTGATTCCAGGCGACGTGCCGTAGCTCCTATTTCCAGTTGTTGCAAGGGCGAATTCATTGAACCCTACACCCGATTAAAGACTGGCGGACAGCCAGGCAATCTGGAGGAGCTGACCGCACACCTTGGCAAGGCTACTTCCTCATGTCGCGCGGGGTTTGTTCTACAGCTAGGGAGGCAGCGCTCTTCTTGTTGTTTTTGGTGTTGCAGCTGTTGCTTCTTGCTATGGTTTTTCTGGTTCATACAGACACCGCATCTACTAGGATAGTTGCCCGTCATCTCTTAGCTCGCCTGGATTTCACATTTCAGGATTTCCCGGTCCTCAAACCATTGGATATACTCCTTCCCTAGCCCATTCAGGTCCTTGCGTAGTAGTGACTGTCGATTGCCTTGACCATTCAAACACAAAGCCACGACCGCAGCCTGCGTCAAGCGGTGAAAACTGTCCAAGTCTTTCAATTACCTCGTCCAGCTTGTTTCGAGAACTAGAGTTCGTCTTGCCGACCCCTGGAGGGATTCGAACCTACGTTGCTTATTGCGGGACTTTTGGAGGCGAGCAAAACGCCCGACACAACATGTTAAGCTCCTGCGTAGGCCGTCTAGGGCTGGTATAAACATGAGCCTCGACGTTTCTTGTTGTGGAGGGTTTGAGTTTGGCGTCGTGGAAACCTCGAGGCTGCGCATGGACCTCACCCTCGTACTAGTCCTCAACTGCCAAAAGGCCCAGACCCTCAACCCTAAATTCGTAAACCATGCCAAGGTCAACACCGTGGCCCTGTCGCTGTTGAGCCGCCCTGGCCCGTCTTGGCTTGCACCCCATGCTGTTTCCCGAGACCCTCTACACCGCAAGATGCCGCCGGTGCGGGTTTTGATGCATTCTGCTCTTGATGGAGGGGAGGGGCGCGGTGAGGTGAGGGTGAGCCCGTTCGTCCTTTCCTTTACGCATCTTGACTAGGTGGCTAGAATCCCCGGGGCTCAAGGGGCTCGGAGTCACAAGGCCTTCAGATTCAGAGACAGATTGAATTTCAATGCTAGTTCTCAGTTTTGTCACAAGATAGCTGTTTGACCTTACTGGGCTTCTTACTTTTGAGCTTCATGCTGATGCTTACACTGGGTTATCATCTAAGCGGCCGGGCGCTTTCTGTAATGCAGGGGCCTGAATGCTGAGTAAGCCATGCTGCCCGCTGGTATTCAATGCAGAATTGACGCACATATACTCCAAACCGTTCCAATTTAGTACTTGTAAGGCTCGCATACGGTTACTAATCGCCACAGCGACGCTACTAGCCACTTTGGAAGACCCTATTTAGCCATCTATCTATCCATATTCATATAATTACACACAATTATATATACACACCTATCCTTCAGTGATGTATGTATGTATGTATGTATGTATGTATGTTTTATGTGAATATATACATATGTACATACACGCATTTTATATAGAGAGGACGCGAAACCTTGGAGGCAGTGCAGGACTCGGCTTCGTCCATCCAGACCGAGCAGGCTCGAATCCGAGCTTCGAATTTCGCGTTTCGGGTTCAGAGTTCAAGGTTTCGGGTGCTTAGGTGCTTGGGGGCTTCGGAATTAGGGTTTAGGCCATGGTCGAACCGGGTCTAGGGAGTTTAGCGTTCAGGGTTTGGACTTCGAGAATCTAGGATTTGGGTTTAGGGAGTTCGAGAGTTTAGGGTGCGGGGTATGCTGGTCGATGGCTGCAAACGCGAGGCAGCTTCTTTGTGCTCGTGAGAACGCAAACCGACACATGACGGTGCCGCTTCGCTACTGTCCATCAATAGTAACCCCTCCAACACTGGTCCATTCAGGCTTGGCGGCCAGCGAGCGCGTTGAGAAAGCCGCATCTCGATTTGACATAGCCTCACTTTGAGGTTTGATGTGACAAAGCCGGCAAGAAGGCACTGAGTCCTTCGGGTCAGGATTGTCCGCTTGCCCCCATCTGCACTTCGCACCGTTCGGATACAATTGGAGGGATGTGCATCTTTGCGTGGACAGTATGGTAGCGTTGGCATCAACATCAATATCAAAACCTTTAGCTTCAGGATGTTTGGAGACACCAACGCAGCTTCTTTCGGGTCGTGGAATGTTGTCAATCTAGAACGTGGTGAGCACAGTCCTACTTGCTTGCACAAATATCTGCGGAAACTTGGGACCTAAACTCCCCAGTGCTCTCACTTGGCAATGTCGAGACTCCAAATGTCTTCTTCGACACTTGTCGCGGGTTGAGTGGAAAGCCTCTGAGCACGGTAGTCCTGGCTTCAAGACTTCAACAGACTGCAGTGATCAAGTCCCAATCCCGCAACTCCAATTCCTTCACAACTCGTCTTGATGACAACATCCCGCCGAAGGCAGAGCTCACCGCTGAGTACCTTAGTAAGGCCACAGGGCATCTGTAGTAGTTCGGAGAAGTTGTAGCATCAGGAGAAGGAACAGCAGTAGCAGTATTGACCTTCTGCAGTCCCAGCAAAAAACCTTCTGTAGGTTTATATAGAAGAGTAGGAGAAAGAGCAACAGCAATAGCAGCCGCCGCGGCAGCAATTGCAAGACCTCAGATTGCCCGTTAAAGCTCGCGCAAGAGCCCATCCGAGACTTTCGGTTTTAGGGTTTAGGGTTGAGTCTTTTCTAGCATGGTTAATGTTCTCGGAAAGTTGATGAGTTGATGTTAAGAGCTTTCCAGCATACTTCCTCAAGCATTTAGGCAGGGCGCCGCAAGCTCAATCACATCTCTGACAACACGTTTTCCATGCACAGAGAAAGATCGGCAGGCAGATAGAGCGCTGGATGGATGGACACATGGAGAACTTGTCTTGCTGTCTTTCTTTACATCTTTCTGTTTGTCTGCCTCTCCAGCTGTCTCTCTGTCTCTCTTTCTCTGTTTGCTCAGATGCCCAACTACTGCTTGCTGACAGGCCAGGGAGGCCGCAAGTCCCAAGAGCACTTTGCTGCTCGCGACCGCCTCGGACTGGTGAGAACAGCACAAGATTCCGAGCAGGTTATGCCTTCGTGAAGAGTATTAGTCAGAACAGTGGCCGGTAGGAGCAAGCATCAATAACAAGAAAAGTGGTAGCAGCCATTGCATACTGCTTCTGAATCGTGCTACTGAGACTACTACTACTACCACCACCACCGCGACCACTACTACTACTGTAGTACTGTATCACTGTACTGCTGTACTGCTGTACTACTGTACTACCGTACTACTACTACTACTACTACTGCTGCTGCTGCTGCTACTACTACTACTACTACTAGTGGTAGTTCTACTATTACTGCTGCTACGACGACGACGACGAGTACTACTACTACTACTCCTACTCCTCCTCCTCCTCCTCCTCCTACTACTACTACTACTACTACTACTACTACTACTACTTCTACTACTAGTACTAGTGCTAGTGTTAGTACTAGTACTAGTGCTAGTACTAGTATTATTACTAGTACTATAGCACTAGTACTAGTAATAGTACTACTACTACTACTACTACTACTACTACTACTACTACTACTACTACTACTCCTGCTACTACTACTACTACTACGACGACTACTACTACTACTACTACTACTACCACTACTACTACTACTACTACTACTACTACTACTACTACTACTACTACAGCGACTACTATTCCTGCTCCTTTGTGCAGCAGCCACGGCTGCTGTTCCTGGTCCTGTTGTTCCAGTGCCAATGCAATGCTTGCCCTGATTACATTCATTATTATAGTGTTCGGCCACCAGTAACATGAGCATGATTATACTTGTCGAATTGTTGCTGGTGATAGCGATGCTGCGACATCTGACGACCATGTTGCTGCCGGTGGCCATGGTCACTGCTATCGGTCATGGTGAAGCACCTAAACCCCACACAACTAATTCCCTGACGGCGGCTTTAGTGATGTCGTCAGGAGAACCTAATGATGGCGAGTTGGTTGTGTTCCGCTTGGGTCTACGTCTAGGAACCTGGGGTTGTCAGGGCTGAGAGGTTTCCAGCACTGTCCGTGTTCTTGTTGATGGCTCCTGTTCGTTGCTCAGGCAGCCTCCGAAAAGGGGCGCTACCTTGTGGTGGAGTCCCTGCTGCAGCACAAGGTGATTGCCATGGACTTTCAGATGTAAGCCGTAAGCCTCGAGTCTAGACAATCTGAGAAACCAGCTGTTCCTGACTGTTGCAACTTCCAACGTCAGGCACAGCTTGGGTTTCACACGAGTAAGAACGGTTGGGTGGGAACGCAGATTCAGTCCTGCTAGATAGGAAAGTGCCTTTTGACTCACACCAGGCCACTCCCTGTCTCACTCCCAGAACTGAAAACTCTGCACCCAAAACAGCCATTCAATCAATTCTGAGAAGCACCCGCCGAACGGGAGTTTAATGAGGATGCTACTCTTAGGGGTGCAGGCACTGACTCACAAAATAACCATCCAACTCCGGTCGTGGCAGGCCGACCCATTGGTTGCGGACGACAAGGGTGCCTCGACACAACAGTCAGCGCAAGAGCCGTAGAGGAGTTCAGGGTTTGCACGACGACGACGAGGAAGGCCAGTACGGAGAAGACCGCGACGACTACCACTACTTCCACCAGCAATTGGTAACAGGTGCAATAGAAATTCACACATGCACATTTTAACTTCCGGTCGGCTTGCTAAACAGCAGTACTGCCAGCAGTTCCAGTGTTCCAGTAGCAGTATCAGTCAGTAGTAGTAGTAGTAGTAGTAGTAGTAGTAGTAGTAGTAGTAGTAGTAGTAGTAGCATCAGCAGTAGTAGCAGCAGAAGTTGTGGTGGTAGTAGACTACTTCTACTTCTATTTCTGCTACGACTACTGCTTCTGCTACTGCTATTGCTACTCCTACTACTACTACTACTACCACTACTACTACTACTACTACTACTACTACTACTACTACTACTACTACTACTACTACTACTACTACTACTGCTACTACTGCTACTGCCACTACTGCTACTACTGCTACTTACTGCTTCTGCTGCTACTGCTATCACCACTACTACTACTACTACTACTACTACTACTACTACTACTACTACTACTACTACTACTCCTGCTACTGCTACTGCTACTGCTACTGCTACTACTACTACTACTACTACTACTACTACTACTGCTACTGCTACTGCTACTGCTACTGCTACTGCTACTACTGCTACTACTGCTACTACTCCTACTTCTACGCCTACTCCTACTCCTACGACTCCTGCTGCTGATGCTGCTGCTGCTGCTGCTACTGATGACCTCAACGCCTCGGTCCAAGGATCCATAGACTGCATTAACGTGACTACAAGCGGCGTCAAGCTTGCAGGCAACACTGCTCGAACTGAATCCCCCTGGGGGGGGCCACCGCCCACCGCCCGACAAAATGCCACAGGCAACATCCCGCTGCACAAAGCAGCGCAAAGCGGGAGCCTTCTCTCGGCCTTGCTGCTTCTGGACCGCATTCAGGCGGGTCTGGCGTTGTGTGTCGGTTCTGCACGTGCCTTGGTGCCAGCTTTAGGAGGACGCTAGCACGACTTCTCGGGATCCTGTGAACCTTCGTCGACGTGCTAAATGTGCTAAATAGCTCTGATGCAGTCCAACGACCGCTCGGCTAACATCGCGAGCATGGTGAATGGTGACGGGGAGACGCCCGAGATCCTGGCAGCCACTTGGATTGGACCTCACGAAGACCAGCTGTATGATATGATCCGAGAGCATCTAGCGCGCAGACAATGCATCTACGAATAAAACTCTCGGTTCGATGTTAATTAGCATGTTAGCGCTCGAACGACTAAATCTGAGGGTTTTGCTTGGTTTCGGGGTCTTCCTGTGGATAGTCACGGCGATAGTGGCAGCCGAAGCCTTTGGAACACTGCTTTTGGTTTTGGCGTTCTTTGTAAAGGCAGCGGGGCAGTGAGAGCAACCAGGTAAGCCGGCTCTGTACTTACAAGTCTGTGAGACTCGATCCCGAAATCTCCTCAACGTCTGTTGCAGTGTGCACCCAGTAGCGGAGGACAACACTGGAGGCGACGTGTATGTATGTATACTTCAGGCTTTCATACAACTGACCGTGAAGTTCCAAGTTGTACTATCGTTAGCAGAATGTGACTTCTCATGAGGCAGAGGTCGGCGCAGCAGACGTCTGCCGTGCCTTTGAGGCAGGATCCGTGAACCTTGGGGGAATCAAGGGTTTGAGGCTGTGTTCACGGTTCAGGGAGTTTCAGCTTTTCCAAATCTCAGACTGATGCTTGTCCGCAATAGCGTGTCAAGAACCACGATTTTCGGGTCTCTGAGTCGCACGCATGCAGGAACTGAAACAGCCATTCACACGAAATCCGTAAGCCGCTTTGACACCGAAGCCTTGAGCACAAGCCTCCGACTGTGGCTAGTCTTCGGGTCGTGACCCTAATTCCCAAAAGAAGTCTTAGGTCTTTCAGACCATGCAGAGAGATGCGGCGTCTTGGCAGCTCGGTGTCTTGGCAGGAGATTTCAGTGGTGCGAGAGATTTCATTGGGGTTGGGCATCCAGTTTTTCACCGAAGGTGCTCACAAGTACACAGGGAGAAGTCGATCCTTCAAGCAAGAAGGAGCCCTGTTGGCCTTCAGTATCAGTCATGCAATGTAGTGTAGGCCCAATGCCGGGGCTTCGGGAGGCTACGGTTTCATGGTTCTTTGCAGGGCTGAGGCCAGGCAAGGATCGGATTCTGTTGGCTGCCAGTGTCGTGTGTTGGCTGAAGGAACATAACTTGGAGGTTGGCGGAGGGTTGGTGGAGGGGGCTATTCACATGTCTTCTTCTGGCTGTGTAAGCAACCGCTAGGCGGATGTCGCGCTCGAGGCAGTAGAACCGTGCAACTAGCTTGCTTGACTTACCTGTTCATCAATGCTTATACCCGTGATATCCTGTGATTATGAAATGGGTGGTGAGGACTTAGATTATGATGGTTGTGAAAACAGGTTCCTGTGAAGTCCTACTTGTTTAATCAGGCTTAGACTAGCCTTAGTTGATAAAATCAGGCCTTTCGTAGCGTGTACTGGCGCGGCCAAAAGCGACAAGGAGGTAGGTAGCAGATGGACCAGCATGATTGACTTGCGATCTAATCCCGGTTCAACACGTCTGCTTCGGATCGTGATCTGGGATCGCCAGGTTCGGCATCCCCACTGTCAGACCACCAAGGCCGGTAAGTTGATCAGGGTTTCCGAACTCCAGCGATGGCTTCCAAGCTTGGCGCATTGGTTTTGCGAGTTTCTGAGTGTCAACAAGCAGGATTCAGTTCGACGAGGCTATTTCTGCGTTCACTGCTGTCAGGACACCGAATAGCCACCGGTCGCGGGCTGAGACATGGCACACGTGCCTCAGACAGTACAACACACTTGGTCCGGAAGCAATTCGCGCGATTGAGGCGTTTTATGGGCCCATTGTAGAAGATTCAGCGCATACCTCGATCCCCCCCTGGCATCTCCCTCTTTCACCGGAAGTTCGATGACCCCAGGTGACATGCTCTCCTTGATCGACCTGGCTGTTGAAATGCCGTCTGCCGCAGCGGTGTGGCCCTGAGGGAAGCTTGCTCGAAGCCAAAGTCTGGGGCACACAAGAAGCGTCGTGGCAAAAGACATGGGCTGGTGTTCCATGACGTGCCATGTATGATATTGTGTAGCATACCTGAGCACACTGTAGTAAAGACTTCGCCGACGGAAGTTGCAAGCGCCACAAGCTCGGATGGCTTGAGGAGTGGCAGGTCGTCCGTTTTCAATCTTGAGGATCGAGATCATCAAATCAAGGGTGGCCATAGGTCAATCTGCTTATTGGCAAATTGCGACTGGAATACGGCATGCGGAGCCTTGAACAGACCCTCGCTCAAACCTCAGCATATGAGTCTTTCGTGACTCGCCCACGGTCTGCATGCCTGACCGATACATCCGTGCCACCCTGGGTCATCACGCATGCCCAACAGACATTAAAGTAGGAAAGCTTCAGCCCAAACTGATGCCACAGCCTTTGACGCCTGCCCGACGTGAGCCCAAGATCCGGGGCGGGCAGACCTCGAAGAGTTTTCCATTCCGATTCTCCTGCCGTCGGATCCAGGCCACTGCTGGGGCGCTTCTTCGCCGGTCCAGTGTGGGCTGGGCAACCTAGATCTACAGCTGAATCCTGGGAGCTGCTGGGCTCATCTCGTGTTGATCGACTCTGCGAAACCAGAGACAGGCCATGGCCTGCTCCTTCTTGCTATCGCTGAGTCTCGCGGTCTTGCTGTGTCCCAGAGTCTGTAGCCGGTGGGAGAATAGTCCAAGCAAGCATTGTGGCTTCTGCGTTGGGTGTCGATATGTACCTTGCGTAGTCCGTTAATTGCCCAGACAAGATCTCGGTGTGCCAGTTCTACACATCGAAGTGCTGCTCAGGCACGCCTCTGGTTCCGAACATCTTCCAGCGAGTGCCTGAAGAGCAGGCTCGAAGTGTTTCAAGCTTCCACAGCTTGAACCATTGAAAATCCGTCGCAGGCGTTGATTGCAGTTTGCAGCTGTGGTTGGGCGGAATGGTGTAATTCAGCTAGGGCTCTTTCTGCTGTCGAGCGGAGAGCTTCCTGAGGCAGAGCTTTCGGAGATGGTGAGCAGGCCGGAACTATGCCAATACGAAGTTACATTTCTTCTGTGACTCTTGCTTGGTGACAGTCGTGAACATAAGCCCTGGAACAGTTCCGCTCTCGACAAAGTCGAGTTGCACAAATGGAAACATGTGTTCGGGACAAGGCATTCGAGGGAGGAAACCTGTTGCTGGCATTCCGCGGCTCTGATCTACAGTTCCAGTGACGTGATCGTGGCTCTCGCAGTTTGTAGGCCCTTTGCTGTTGACCCCTGTGCCCGAAACTCTTCTAACTCAAATCCAGAAACCCTCACCTCAAAATAGCCAACCTCCAGACTCCAATCGTCCTGGCCCGCAGGGTCTGCAAGGGAATCGAGACTGCCGAGTCCCAGCTGCTGCATCCCCGCCGCAGCCCAAGATCCGTGAGCCTCTGACTTATGTTTGGGGACCCTAATATAGTACCCTAAATAGTAGGATCCTTATTTTAAGGACCCCAAAATAAGGATGGGTTGCATTCTCATTTTCTGCGTCTCTGTGCTTCAAGCGACGCGATTTCGGAAGTCAGACACTCGTGCCAAAACCGTTGAACCGCACAGCGAAACCCCCGAAACTCGAATATATCCCACAAATGACGGTTCCAAATCCTGTAGAACCAGACCTTCCGCAAGTCTGCCTCCGAAACTCGAGGAGAGGCCTGGGATTCTACCGATCCGGGACTGGACCCGGGCCTTCGAAGGCATGCCGTGCACGTTAAGACTATTAAGATTCAGGGGTCTCGAGTTTGGCTCTGTGATTTTAGGTTTTTGCTCAACGTCGAGGATGGTATCTTGTTAGGGTGTACAATAGGGCTTTCCCCTTGGGTTTTGGGGGTGCTGGGTTTGGGGCCTCTTCCGTACTTGACTTTCTTGCGCGACTTGTCATTCTAGCGGTTCTGTCCAGACGATCCACACTTAGGTGGATTGGAGGTTGTTCTGCAGCAGATGCTTGCAATGTTTTCCTCGCAGGACTGCGGTTTTGCGAGACAACTAATCAAAGCGCTCGGGCACGTTCCCTACCCCTTGCTTTTGGATTTCCCACGAGATCCAGCCAAAGTGTGAAATCATGTATTTTTGTTCGCTAGGGTGTGCGCAATACTTGCCGAACAAGAACGAGCATTTCCGTCTCGCTTGAGAATTCATAACACCAGCTTGTATCGCGTGTATCATAGAATCATAGCCACACCGTCTAGGTAAAGATAAATGATATCAGCAGGAATAACAGCAAAAACCGAGTAGTAACAAACACAGTAATACTGTAGTAACAATAACCGTAATAGCAATACTACCAGTTGTAGAAGTAGAAGCAACCTTAGTAGTTTAGGGATAGCCGTCGTACTCGTCGTGCTCGCCAAGATGATAACCATCACCAGAACTTTAGCTGTTATCATTAACAGAAGAACATGCTTTTCGATAGGTAGTGATGCTCTGCGGTTTGACAGCTGTCCTGACCTGGGCATCCACTTGAAGGTCTGTGGCCTCGCACATTGGATTTCATGGGAAAATGCCGGAAGAAACCTGCTTCCCCGGGATCAGGTTCAACCTCTGTCGTGCGGCGGTCGTTTGCATTTTGTATGCATCTTCCCCTGAGGTTTGCACCATAACCCTTGCTCCGTTGAAGCACATAGCTAGCCGTCTGTAGATCTGACTGAAAGCTTGCGCTGCACATGTTAGCAGCTCTGGCAGTTTCGTGGCGACGGCAAGCTTGCGGAGCCAGTGGCAGAAGATCCGCCAGGAGGCCGCATGGCGTGATGCACCTAGCTGACATGCCGAGCCGTGCTTGCATGCATACTCAGCGCTTTGCACTCACGGCTCAGCAGGCTTTGGCTGCTGTGCCAGGCGAGAAGCTATGCCTGCCAGGGGTCACCGTAGATGAAACGGTTCTCAAGACTAGCCCAACCAGCCGTAAACTTTGTCAGATGAGTACGATGTGACGGTTTGAGTGTAGTGTAGGACTGCAAGACTTGTCCTCGTGAGGGTGCCCACTCGAGCTGCTTTGCGCACAATGCATTCGCAAGCTTTGAAGTTTACATGTACAGCTTGCCTTTCAAGCCAGCAGATGTCGAACGAACAGTCCACTTCTACCCACTGTACTTGGGTGTTTAAAACGCAATCGCCAGTCAACGGAAGACAGCAAGCACAGGGCAGCAAGCACAGGTGTAAGTACAGCAGCTGCAGAACATCGCCGATGACCCCCAGTGACCAGTGCAATGGCAGCTGAATTGCAGCGTGGATCTATCAAGCCCACGACTAGCACAGATCCAGCATCATGCCCAACTTGTGGTTGAGAGTCCCAGTTTTTCGGGTTGCTCGTGCCTTAGAATCAAGTCGGTCGGTGGTGAGATGCATGTTTGTGAAATTCATGTTCCTGTGATGAGGCCAGGTTTCTACGGTAGTGCGCGAGCATGTCGAACGGGGCTTCTGAACTGAAGAGTTTTGGTTTTCCATCTCCACGACTCTAAAGGATGTTTGAAGCCAAGGACTGGGTTGCACAATTCCCGCTCTCAACGAAAGGCAGGGCTATCGTCAATCAGCATGGAGAGCGCTTCCGTCTGCGAAGCGTCAACTGGTACGGTGCGAGTTTCTCGGCTGCCGCTTCCTGTGCTGGTTTCTTTCATTGCTGACCAGTTCAGCGTGACCGTGGAATGAGCCCAAATCTCCGTCTCAGGTGACCAAAATCATGTTGTTGGAGGACTGAACGTGCAGAGCCTGGAGACCATTTGCGGAACAGTACAGTCCTTGGGCTTCACAGCCGTCCGCCTGCCTTTCTCCAATGAGATGTTGAGAAGCAGTGTCGCCAGCGGTTGCATCGACTTCGACAAGAATCCAAAGCTCCAAGGGCTCACTGCTCTTGAGGTTCTTGACGAAGTGGTGCATTGCTACTGGACTGGACTAGCAACAGTTTGCGTGAGAACCCTCCTACTTGTAGCATCTAGGGCCTAGCGGGTGTTAACCTGGCTGAGTTGCAAAGGCTTGGCTCGACACCGGGTGGTCTCCATCCTGCCTCTCGACGTGGAGCTAGCATGTGCGGCAAGCAACTTGTTTTTCTCGTACTATGTTTGTGTAATGTTCTGCACCTTGACACTATTCTTCCTTTTACTTGACGGTTGCCGCGACGGTTGTCATGTTGTTCCGCCATTCTGACCTTCGTTATCTAGTTCTGCCAGTGCGTTTCCGTGCCGGTTTTAAGTAGTCAGTTGCAAAAGATGATCGTTACTCGAGGTTTTGTGTGTCAGAAACTGTTCATGTTCTTGCGCATCAATGCCTATTCCGATTTCTGCCATGGGTTTTGCAGGGAGACTGTGCCAAGCCCTCCGCCGTTGCCCTTCAGAGCAACCATAGGATTGTATTAGACGGTCATGGTCGTGAATGGCGAAAGCCCGTTGTCCGGTTTCAGAGTAGGTCGGAACTTCGGGGAAGCGGAGAGTCCCAAGCTGAAGTCCTAGTAGCATTAATTACTCCCCACTGCAACCGCCATAGATGTGTGGCTGCCTGTTCTGAAGTTCTACATGCTCTCGGACAGGCTTCCTCGTTCCGAGGGTTTCGAATGCAGCATAGGTTGTTGATCACTTACCTACAAAATCTTGGGTTGCGACAGGAACAACCACACCACGCACGGTGAGTGGTGCGGCGGCCCGGACCGCAATGGTCTCTGGTTCGACCCGACGAGCAGCTTCTACACGGAGGCCCAGTACTTCCCCCCGCTGAGGGTAGGCGGCGGTATGGGCCATTTGTAGCCAGGCCAAGGCCAGAGCAACGTGCATTGAGTGCTTCTCAAGCCGGACAGCCTGATACCACTGATGCTAGGTTGCTTAGGCTGGGGGTAATCAGTTTTCTCATTGCTCTCACCGGCCTTACTTTCCTTCACCTGCCAGTTTTACATTCTCTTGTTTCATGCATGGATCCGTCGTCGCCAAGAAGACTGGCCCTGTCCCTTCAAGATCTGACGCTGGAAGGCACAATGGCTTGAGGACTGGGCCATGCTGGCGAGCCGATATCGGGACTGCGGCTACGTTGTGGGCACCTTGTCTGCGAGTGGTTCGTCTACATCACTACATAGAGCACGAGACATCGGACGAGGTTTCCACGCCTAAGCTGCGCCCCGTTATAGGTGCATTGTACTTCGTCATCGAGCCCCCTGTCGCAGGCCCTAGATCACGGCTGCACCTCCACTGGCCCACAATCCAACGTTTGTCAAGTTTCGGAATCAGATGCAGAGCCTTGCATCATGCAAGCCCCTGGCTTGCTCACAGTAGCCCTGATAGCTTTCTGGATGAGGCTTCGACTTGCGGAACGAGGTCCGTTTCTGCCCTTGGCCGTTCCGCTACCCCATCTGGTTGGGTGGTGGGCCGAGGAGAACATTTAATGGTGATCTACGGTGGAGGATGCAGGTTTGAACGTTTCGGGTGTGAAGGGTTCACAGCTGTGCCGGTGAGGTGAGTTGAACACTTGTTCCTGACTTTGTAGAACAAGCTAAGAGGCTTGTTCACAGAAACGGCCGTACCTTCTGGCTCAGACAATGCAGCTTCCCGCACTTTGCTTTTCGTTTTCGAAGCCTTTCTACTGTCTCCGCATATCCGAACCACCGGTGCGCAGAACCGTCGAGTGAAGCGTCCTGTCTTGCAGTATTCCCTGCAGCGTCTCAGAGGATTCTGCGGAAACTCCTCGGCTGCCTGGGCTTCTGCGACTGGGCCGATGCAGCGCGGCGTTGCGCGCAACGGTCACCGGATGAGCACAGGGGATGAAAGCGTTAAAGGGTAGATGTAGAGGCCCAGGAGGATGTGCGGGATGGACAGTGATCTCTCCCTGATGTCCGTTCCTGCGGCAAGCTTGATCAATGCGGTCTCCGGCGTGTAGCGGGTCGTGCATGTGAGGGTGCACCGACAGGTCCGGATCTGTCCTGTCAAGCTAGCACCAGGATCTTATGACCAAATCACTAGATCTTGCCCAAACAAAAACTTGGCTTGCTACCTTGCTTTTTCAGTATTCAGGCTGCTGGAGACCTGCCCAGACAAATTGTTGGTCGTGGAGCGCCGGATTTGGCCAATGAGGGGGCTGCGGGGCTACGACGCTTGGGCATGAAACGTGCTGAGCAGACCAGAAGCTACACTTGCTGCGAGCATCACAAGTACTGGCGACGGAGTTAAGAGATGGTAGGAAGCTACATCACTAGCGAAGCTTGTGGTTCCGTATGTCTTTTTCGAGGACACATGTCTCTTGCCGGAGCTCCGGAATCGATTGGTTCTTGGAGTACACCACTACAGCTGGAAGCTCGACGTACGCAGTGTTGCATCCGTGAGATACACCGAAGCTGGCCTTTCCAGCAGCCCTTGCTCAACACCTTACCATGCTTGACCAAGGAACGGTCCTGGCCGCTACCTACCTTTTGCGCATCTGAGGAGGAACGGTTGGCAGCTCCTCTCAAGGAGCTCCGAGGTATGTGATGCAGCTAGCGAGAGCTCCTGCGTCTGAGTTGTTGCGTATAGGTAGATGGGTTTGATCTCTAGGCACGCTTTTCTCCGATGTGGTAGATGTGGCATCTTCAGGCAGTTCGAGGCATCGAAGCACATCTCAAGTGCATAGCAGCTGCCTCATTGGCTCGAGCCTCGCAGGAGTCTGCTGAGATTCCTGCGGATCTTCTCACATCAGAACTACGGCGAGATGTCGGCAGGAGAGCTGTCCGATGTCCTCTTCGAGCAGTGGGGCTGCCTTGCGTCGATTTCATAATGCTTTCACAGGGCTTCCAGCTAAAAGCCGAATCCTCCAATGTGATTGCCCTCTGAATTTAGGAGGGGCTTCTACGTACAAGCAAGAAATACAGTTTTAGGGAATGACGTGACGCTGGTAGCATCCCATCACAGCATCGTGAACTGAGCTCATGACCGAGTCGTGACCCAGACTTTTAGACACCCGGAAAGAACTGGACATGCATCGAGTGTGGATGACTATTTCTGCTGCCTTGTTAGTCTTGTTTTTCTTGTTAAATCATCTTCAGTGTTACGACTGTGCTGACTCTTCTTATGGTTTAGACCATGCTCTCATCGTCCACAAAGTGAGCAAGTGCAAAGGTTGGCTCCTTGAAGGGGACATCTGCCCTGTGTGGATCAGCGAGTTCGGCACCGGTCCTGCTCCAGGATTCGATCTGGACCGGCTTTTGGGATCACGGGAGCAGTTTTGCGGCCCAGGGTTCAATCTCACTGTCGTTTGCTGCATGCTGCGAAAACCGTCGTTCCGGCGATGTCCTTAGGCAGGATGTGCGAAAGCTTGGCGAAAGCACCACAGATATTGAGATAAACGAAGACTGGGAGACCTGTGGCTGGGGGGGGGGGAAAGATGCCTTTCGGAGGGTTTCTCTTCAGCACCTCTCCTGGCAGTCAGCTCCCTTACAACGGTCACACAGTGAACTTCTTCGAGAATGGTTTGGCAATGCTATGTGGCCCGACGTGTCTGGAGCCTTGTGACCCTCTGAAGGACTGGTTCAAGCGCTTTGTGGAGATTCTGGGCCGGATGGAGGTGGACTATGCTTACTGGCCCTTGAATGTAGGCCTCCTGGCTGTTCCAGCGGGCGTTGTGAAACTCAGGGTCGCTTTCCAGTGTGCTTGTAATCACAAGTATTCTTTTATTCGCGGGGAACTTTTTGCTGGCGTCGGGGACTGATCTGCGGCTGCTCGTGGTCGGTAAAACCAGACACGACCAACACCTTCGTCCAGAGCCCAAGTGCAGTCATGGCACGGTGAAGCGCAACTTGGACACCATCGCTGCCAAGGCCCAAAGCCGGGCTGCGGTGGAGACGAGCCCTATGGAATGATATCTCAAGACCCTCATCCTGACTGGACTGAAGGGGGATGTTGGAGAGGGAGGCAGCTGCTTGTGTTGTTCGTGCACATGTCCTGGGGAGTACCTCTAAAAAAACGTCATGCAGATGTCTGCGAATCGCAGTTTCATGCTGCCGCTGGCGGTGTAGTGCATGTCTGCAGCATCAAGGGCCGAACTAGGTTTTTCAATCGGAGCTGCCGCTACCTGTTGCTTTCGCCGATCCCAAAGCCCTTCACTCTAAGGACTGGACTCCCAAGCCCAGAAGGGACATCCGGATCAATTTGCTGCCGGGTTGCAATGACGAAGCTTTTTTTTCCGGGAGGTCTTGTCTAGCCAGAGTCTAGTCACTAGTCAGTCTACAGTAGTGACATTCCCCATGTACATGTCTAGATCAACATGAGACATAGATGGGTTCGTTTGTGGACCGAGCTGGTCAGGATACATTTTGGCAGCGAGGCAGTTGCAAGGACGCGGCAGTTTGGTTCAGCTCAGGTTAGCCATTTGAGTCGTCCAAATTCACTCCAGTTCCGCATTGATCCCAGCCCCGTCGGTTGAACCGTCCTCCACTTGTCCCAAAGTTGAACAAGTTGCAGTCAGGGCGGCGATAGCAAATCATCAAAAACACTGGATATGTCCCGTGATCGCAGGCTGCAGGTTCCAACTCGTAATCAAGCCCCAAAACCTTTGAATCTTCATCCAAAAACCTTAGGCCAACCTTAGGCCCTCAGCAGTGTACGATGTGTCCCAGGTTACGACTCCACGGGCTCCTCCCGGCCGTCGGAAGTGAGGAGAAAAAGAGATGCGCGTTCCCACAAGATTCAGGTATCATAAGATCCTAATGCAATGGCAGTAGGGTTCAGGCGTTTTTGGGGTTTGCACGGTTCTATCTCGAACGTCTCACATCTGAGACGTTCTCTGCAATCCTCGGGCAGGTGCCGACTCGCAACTCGAGGACGCTGGGGCAGGGAGTGAGGGGAGCCAAGACATATCGGCTTTGAAGGGGTGAGACTGGTGCTGCCGGAGGCTTCAGTCGCGGTCCTGGCTCGAGCTTTACGAGTAGGATTTACGGATGGGCCCTTGCCCATGCCTGCTGGCTTCGCAACCGTTACACGCCTGTGCATGGCACTACTCCGTACGAGGCTGTGACTGATTCGGCGTACAGCGGCACCATCTGTCGCTTTGGAGAAAAGGTCCTGGGATACCTCAAACCTGACGGCAAATCCTCGGCGCGCTGGCGCCACGGCCTCTTTGGCTTTGGTGGATGTGGTCGGACACCCACATTTTGGGTTTGGTCGGTGGCGTCTTCGTGACGCGCTCAGTGCGAAGGTTTGAAGACAATTTCGATCCGGACTTTGCAGCCAGCTTTGATGTGAGTGTTTTCGAGCACGGGCTCTCGTCCATAGGGGGGAAACTTGTACTTGGGCACAAGAAGCCAGCCGCTCCTGTTGCAATGCCTATCCCAGCCTACGTTGGCCCTCCTCCTTCACCACCAGCCGCTGCAGAATCGCCTCTTCCTCACGAGGCTCGAGGCTCTCCTTCACAGATTGCAGGCACCGACTCGCCAGTGCGGTCTCCAACATCCATCAACTATAGCCCTTCTGATGGCATGAGTGCCACGGAGGATGCTGCTCTTTCTGATCGTCACGGTGATGTGTTGTCCACTGACGCAGGTGAACCCAGCTCAGCCGAGGCGGGGATGCCCGCAATTCCTGCCGAGGCGGGGGCAGTTGCCTCATCCGCTCCTCTGATTTCTGAGGCTCTGGGCCTCAGTGAGAATCCTCGACCAGCCAAGGTCGCCCGCAGGTCTGATGATGACCAAGTGATGGCTCTTGAAGGGCAGATTTCTTTGATTACCGCCCCTGGCTGCTGTGCGGATGAAATGCCGGCTGGAGATTTGCTTGTAACCTCTGGAGAGGAGTCTCCCTGCGTTGTGCACATCACCCTGACGGGATAGGGGTTAAAAAAAAATTAAATAAGGATCAAAAAAAAATGAAATAAGGATCAAAAAAAAATTAAATAAGGATCAAAAAAAAATTAAACGGGTATCCGCGAAAGGAAGGGGAAAAAGGAAGGAAAGAAAGACAGAGAGAGAGAGAGAGAAGGAAAGAAAGAAAGAAAGAACGAACTAAAGAAAGAAGAAAGAAGGAAGAAAGACAGAACGAAAGAAAGAACGAAATAAAGAAATAAAGAAACAACAAACGAAAGAAATAAAGAAATAACAAAAGAAAGAAAGAAAGAAAGAAAGCCATGCAAGAAAGAACGAGAGAGAGAACGAAAGAACGAAAGCAAAAACGAAAGAAAGAACGAAAGCAATAACGAAAGAAAGAACGAACCAAAGAAAGAACGAAATAAATCAAACCAGAAAGAAAGCAAGAAAGAAAGGAAGGGAGTATGAGATGAACAAAGAAAGAACAACAGAAAGAAAGAAAAGAAATGAACGAACGAAAAGAAGAAAGAAGTCCATACTAAAAAAGCAAAGTTGGAAAAGACGAAAGAGAAATAATATGAAAGAATCACAGAAACAAAGATACAAGCAACAGGATACTACATAGTCCAATCGAATTTACCATAATATCGTAATGTACCGTAACATAATATGAATCATAATGTAACCTAATGTTATAAAATATACTACATATTATGTTGTAAATATACACACTGTATTGTACTATGTTACAATGTACTACACTATAAACTAAGATGTTGTTTTGTTCTATGTCATCTTCTGTTATATTGTATTGTTGTATTTTTAGTATGCTATTATATGCTATAAGAAGCAAGGTTCTGTTATGTCAGAAAATGTCACACCATTTTTGTGTTGTCGAACCATCTTATGTCGTTCTTCTGGTTTACTATGTTATATATATATATAGGTTAGAATGCTAACGGAAGAAGAGACACGAACAGGCACGGAAGAACAAAACACCCGCCGCCGCGCTTTTCGAGACGTGCAAGCTTGATTCAAAGAGTGTTTTCGAAGCCCATCATGTGAACGTTGTCTCTGCAAATGGGGGGGGCTGCGCCCCCCCCAACCCCCCCGCTGTTTTAAGCCGTGCAGGGTTGCTTTGAAGCATATGCCTTTTTTTGAACCCCAGCAAATGAGGGCGTCTCCGCCCTTGTAGATACATGCTGAACCAGAATCGCCAAATGAGGGGCGTGTTTAAGATAGATGATGAAGCGGAATACCAGCAACAGCTACAACAGGAAATCCGTCCTAAATGTGAAATTGGAAGGAAAATTTGATTTTCCCGAGGAACAACCATATGTTGTCCTTCTGAAAACCTGAAGAAATGACACGAACGCCATAGGTAATAGGAAAATAGGGTTTTGCCTACGAAAAATCAAGGAAAACGTAGGCAAATTGCTGTATCTAAAGAGGACGAAAGAAAGGACAACAGAAAGAAAGAAAGATAGAACGAGAGAGAGAACGAAAGAACGAAAGCGAAAACGAAAGAAAGAACGAACGCAAGAACGAAAGAAAGAACGAACCAAAGAAGAACGAAATAAATCAAACCAGAAAGAAAGCAAGAAAGAAAGGAATGGAGTATGAGATGAACAAAGAAAGAACAACAGAAAGAAAGAAAAGAAATGAACGAGCGAAAAAAGAAAGTCCAGAATAAAAAGCAAAGTTGGAGAAGACGAAAGAGAAAGAATATGAAATAATCGCAGAAACAAAGATACAAGCAACAGGATACTACATAGTCCAATCGAATTTACCATAATATCGTAATGTACCGTAACATAATATGTCATAATGTAACCTAATGTTATAAAATATACTACATATTATGTTGTAAATATACACACTGTATTGTACTATGTTACAATGTACTACACTATAAACTAAGATGTTGTTTTGTTCTATGTCATCTTCTGTTATATTGTATTGTTGTATTTTTAGTATGCTATTATATGCTATAAGAAGCAAGGTTCTGTTATGTCAGAAAATGTCACACCATTTTTGTGTTGTCGAACCATCTTATGTCGTTCTTCTGGTTTACTATGTTATATATATTGGGTTAGAATGCTAACGGAAGAAGAGACACGAACAGGCACGGAAGAACAAAACACCCGCCGCCGCGCTTTTCGAAACGTGCAAGCTTGATTCAAAGAGTGTTTTCGAAGCCCATCATGTGAACGTTGTCTCTGCAAATGGGGGGGGCTGCGCCCCCCCAACCCCCCCGCTGTTTTAAGCCGTGCAGGGTTGCTTTGAAGCATATGCCTTTTTTTGAACCCCAGCAAATGAGGGTGTCTCCGCCCTTGTAGATACATGCTGAACCAGAATCGCCAAATGAGAGGCGTGTTTAAGATAGATGATGAAGCGGAATACCAGCAACAGCTACAACAGGAAATCCGTCCTAAATGTGAAATTGGAAGGAAAATTTGATTTTCCCGAGGAACAACCATATGTTGTCCTTCTGAAAACCTGAAGAAATGACACGAACGCCATAGGTAATACGAAATAGGTTTTTCCTACGAAAAATCAAGGAAAACTTAGGGAAATACCACGGAGTCCACAGGAATATCGTGTTTCCAGAACAAAAACCAGACAGATCCTAAGGAAACACAAGAAAATCCGTAGGAAAACAGTGTTTTCCATTGGAAAAATTCAGGAATTGCTGTATTTTAAGTGATTTAATTTTTTTTTGATCCTTATTTTATTTTTTTTTGGATGCCCCTGCCCCAGGAATTGCTGTATTTTGCGTGATTAATTTTTTTTTTGATCCTTATTTTAATTTTTTTTTGATCTTTCCATTTAATTTTTTTTTGATCCTTATTTAATTTTTTTTTGATCCCTCACCCTGACAAGTGTGTTATGAGCATGAGGATGAAAATGTCACTTTGACGTTTGATGGTGACACGCTTGATGAGCTCGAGGATTACGACCAAAGTTTTCTTGAGGATCAGTCTGGTGACACTGAGTTGCTGCCTGAGCTGTGTCGGCCTTGCACTTCAGACATTGAGCCAGAGCTCTCTCCGGAGGAGCTAGAAGCTTTGGATGTGATTGCTGATGGAGTTGAGATTGCTAGGCTAGAAGGCATGACTGTGCTGCTTCCTGAGTCAGCAGCTCATAACGATGAGTACGCAGGTCAAGAGGCCACTCACCTCACCACGCGCATGGTGCGCACGTGGCGTGAGAAGGAGCTTGGTGGCTCCCCAGTTTGGTACCGACGCAGCCGGTACGTGGCCCGAGAGTATGCGTGGCTCAATGAGCGTCATGACCTCTTTTCGCCCGCCTCCACAGCACTTTCGAACCGCTTGTTGCCGATCCATTACCTGTGTCACGAGCCTGACCCTGATGATCCTTGGGTCATGGTCGCCCTCGACATCCGTGACGCTTACCTTAGCGTCAAGCAGACCCGCCTGGTCATTGTGCAGCATGCAGGTGTCCGCTACGTGCTGGGACGAGTCCTGCCTGGACAGCGGGACGGATCCAAGGAGTGGTACTTGGCATTTTCCAGTTTTCTTGATGAAGCCTTGGGTTTTAAGAAGTGTGATGCTCTGCCCTCGTTGATCCGCGAGCCAGCTTCCAAGTTCAGTATGCAGATGCATGTCGATGACTTGTTGGGTGCAGGCAGCAAGCGCTTTCTTCTTGAGCGCCTCCGGCCCACGCTTGAATCAAAGTATCGTGTAAGCATCCGCATCCTTGAGGCTCCGGGGGACACGATTTCGTTCTTGAAGCGGCATCACACACTTCTTGCTGGCGGTAAAATGCTGCTAACACCCTCGGCCAAGCATTTTGAAAAGTTGTTTTCTGTGATGAAAATCGATGAACGGAGTGCTCCGAAGAAGACTCCTCATGCGCCGCAGCTTGATGAAGTAGACAACAGCGAGCTTCTCGCGTGTGCAGATGCAAAGGCTTTCCGCTGTGCCATTGGCATTCTTTTGTACTTGGCAGTGGATTTGATCGAGTGTCAGGGTGCCATCCGTGCGTTGAGCAGCTACATGATTTCGCCAACACGCAATGCGCAGGCTGCTTTGAGGCATCTGTTGAAGTATCTTCTTGAAGGCCAACACCATGGTCTCTTGCTTGATCGCAGAAACTGTTACAACGGAGTTTCCGGCGAGATTCCGAGAACGAGCCAGCCGGTCCTGTGCTTAGAAGCTTTTTCGGACGCCAACTGGGCGGCGCATCGAGGCTCTCGCAAATCGGTTAGCTCAGGGATGGTGTTCGTAGCAGGTTGCCTTTTTGTACAGCTCTAGCCGTACACAAAGGGTGATTGCTTTGAGCTCAGGGGAATCGGAATTGCTTGCGGCGACGTCTACACTTTGTGACGCTTTGTTTGTTCGGCAGCTGCTCGCTTTCATTGCCGACGATGAGCCACCCCAGATTCATCACTTCCTGGACGCCAGCGCTGCCAAAGGCATCATGGAGCGAAGCGGCGTCGGCCGCGTTAGGCACTTGAGCGTCCGAGTCTTGTGGACTCAGCAGCTTGTTGCGGATAAGATCATCATGCTTCGCAAAGTTGCAACATCGATCAATGTGGCCGACCTGAACACCAAAGGCCTTTCTCGGAGCCGCATGCTCATGCTTTTGCACATCATCGGTTGCTGGCATACTGTGCATGAGTGCTTTGTTGGAGAAGATGAGATTGCTGATCTACGCTACAAGCAAGCAATGAAGGACGCTGTGCGTGCCGTCCGCTCCACATCGAGTGCGTCCGTGAGTAAGCCTATGATTCAGGCCATTGTCATCGCTGTTGTGAGCGCCTTGAGTCGTGCTGCGGATGATGCTGACGGTGACAACGGCTTGGATGACTCAGGAGCTGATCTTCCTGACTGGGCTAACCGGGTCCTTGTGTGGTTCTTAGGACTGTGGGTCCGCGATGACACTGGCGTGTCTGTCATCGACATGCTTGTGCAGCCCCATGCTTTGGTCCTTGCGTGCGTGACAATGCTGATGCTTGTGTTGTGCATCCGCACTTTGTGCTGCAGGGTATCTGATCGCGGCCAGGTCAATGTGCAGATCGCTGGCCCTCGTGATCATGTCTCCTTTCAGTTTGATCGCCAGCTCAATTTGCATGTTGGAGTTGGTGCGCCTGGGACTCCTACGAATCCTCTGTCTTTCGACTTTGATGGTGATGATAGCCCTCCACATGTTTTGTCCGCGCTACGCAAAGGTGCAAGGCCCAAAGCTTCTACCAGACCAGGTCCGAGGTACGAAGATGAGGATGCTCCTCATCCCGACGCGAGTTCGTCAGCAGCACCGCCCACTGGTGCGATGAATGCAGTGCAGGCTCATGTGCCTCCTGCTGACCATGCATCAGCACCTGGAACACCAGCAGAGTCAATGAGTTCGCAGCTTTCGACGCAGTCGTTCCGTGAGCTGCACGGGTACCCTATCGCCGTGGCACGGAGGATGAACCACCGTGGGAGCCTCGTGTGGGTGTCGCACACGGGCCGCTGCTATCATCGTCTCCGGTGCTTTAAGCTTGATGGGTGCGATCGTGTGAAGGCGTACGAGCGCCACGAAGCACAGAACCGCGGACTCCGTGCATGCAAGAAATGCAATCCTTGAGTGACGGTGCATGATGTATGTGCAAAGCCTCTCTTGATGGCCACTTGAAATGCTCTTGATGCGATGCTTTCTTGGTGTCAACACTCGGCGTGTTGATACCATGGGGCATCTTGTATATATCCACCTGTATTATAGCTTGGATGCTCATGTTGCTGGGTCCTGGACCCTTCTGTTAACTTCAGGTGCCGATGATCTTGAGCATATACTTGTATGGCTTTCTTGAATGTGCATATGGTGCATTTTGCACCATCAATACTTGTGACGCATGCCATTTTGGCAAACCCGAGAATGTGTGCACTTTGAGTGCATTGCTGACACGTGTGATGGCGATGATGCATTCCGCCACTGCTGGACCTTAATTAGGAGGTTCTAATACTTTTAGTCGTTGGTTGTAGGCTTCCTTCGGCTGTTTTGCGTACAGGGCAAACACTTTCTTGATTATCAAATTGTGCTTGCATGATCCCGCATGAATCGTCAGCCTCTCTCAGCGCCGTGCTTCGAGTCAGCTTACTTTTGCATCACTTGTGTGAAGCTTCTGCTCTTCTTACCTCTTGTGCCGGGTCCGCTTGCCCGAGTCAAGCATTCAACAGTTGGTGTGGGATGCCTTGCATCTTTCATCGACTTCCGTAGGCAGACAGCGCAAATGCGTTCGTAGTCTCTAGTGTCAAAGACGGTAGGTAGCGGTAGGTCAAGCCAACGACCGCTTCGGCAGAGCTTGTGCACGCGAGTGAAACCCAGTCCGGAGCTGTACTGAAACTAGTTGTACTCCTTTTGTTTCTTTGTCATACCGGCCCTAGTGTAGCAGCTTAGAGCTCTCGTACAGTGTGGCTTTTGAAGTCGCAAAGTTGTGTTTGAAAGCAGTAGCCTTAGTTGGACTTCGGCATGCTTTAGGCGGGGTGCAAAACTTTGCACGCCTTGTACTCGTACTGCATGTACACGTATTTTCCATTTGTTTTCCTGGCCGGTATTTACTTGAGTACTTGTTTTATTTGTGCGAGCTCCGTAATTCATTTGAGCCCAATGTGCTGACTTGTGTACTCCGCAGGCGCTTGTGTTTGAGTGAAAATTAGCACGTTTCCTTTTGCGACACAATTGCTTGCCAACGTGTTGGTGGCTGAGTTTCCTGATGCCTGCTTTTCCTCTGTGGGCCTCTTCTTCAACTTACAAGCGCCGCTTCATTCTGATCGCAACAACGACCATAGGCATTGCAATTTGCTTTTGCCCGGGTCGCATTTCTCGGATGGGCAGGTCTGGGTGGAAGGTAAAGGACAACACCCGTGTCCTGATACTTCGACCAAGCGCCTCGGCTATCTCTTGGATGTTGCAGCGGGGCCGCAACGCCTCCCATCGGAACGCTTGCATGCTACCTGCTCGTGGACTGGTGACCGCTTGCTCGTGGTTGGTTTCTGTGTACGTGATACCTACAGACTCAGTCATCGAGACCACCAATGGCTGCAGGACTCCGGTTTTCGACTACCCGACCACAACCCGCCCAATGACTTCAGGCGACTTCTTCAACTGCATCGACTTCAACGTCTGCTACGCCGTCGGCTTCTCCAACGACAACTCAGGATGCGGCCGCAACATCGGTCTCTGACCCGAAATGCCGCCGAGTGGCGTATCGACCTGCCACTGAACTCTTTCAGATCTTCGTCAAGCCCGGTGACCGCTTCAGCCACGACCGCCATGCCCACGCCAACTACTTGTCAGACGCTTTTTCTACATGATTTGGCCCCACTCGTGATTGAGATCTTCGCGGGCACCGCCAGATGAGAGTCTTTTCAGTTGTCTGATCATGGACAGTCATCATGCTGTGTATGCTACCGCGACTAGTGCTTAGGCTTCCTGAATAGAAAAGCTGTGTTAGTGCTTCGCTCATGGCGTAGTCGTATTCGTGTAAACAAAAAAAGGTTGCAACTGCCGGCATCGTAAAATATCGCTGAACATGTGGTTGCCTTCGGCCTTTTTCAGCAGCTTCCAATCATTCAAGAGCCTTTTGTCTGCACATTCTCGTCGTCCGTTTGCGCAGGACAAATGGGGGGGTCATCATTTGTCCCGTGCACGAAGGATCCCAGATAAGTCGCGCTAGGAAGAGGATACAAGGCCATGAGGGATGGAAGAAAAGATAGATGGGGTGTTAATAAAGATAGACGGGGTCAATTAGAAACGATATGGGGGTCGAAGAAAAGATACTCAGGGGCCCAGGGGTCAATCATTGAAGGGATAAGGGGGTTAGAAAAACGATACGGGGGGTAAAACAATGACATGCCCAGCCTAGAACCCCGAGACGATGGGCAATTTTGGAAACTGTGCTTGTTTCTTGAAGCAAATCCTTCACGTGCAGGGCAAACTACCGACGAAGTGTCACGTCTAGCACAGCACATGCCATCAACATGGATGATGACGAAAGTGCATCTGTCCTGGACTAAATCTTGAGTTGTTGTTGAGCATCCGTATTCAGGAAGAAGGAGGGTTATGAGCTGCCATCATAGCGTACTATTGTCGGAGGTACATTGGGCCTTCCTGTTCCGAGGCTTCGCATATGCGAAGCATTCACAAAATGACGTTGGGGTTGGGCACCGCTTGTTGCACCGCCCAGGACGGTTTGCGGAAGAAGGTTTTCCACTGTGCAAAATGCGGACTCTGCCGTGTTGGTGGACGTGAAAACTACTGCTCCGGACTCAGCGATCTGATGTTGGCAGCCCAGGGCCCGTTCATCGCTGAAACTGAAGTCGAAGTCTCAGTCTCCGCATTTCTGAGCAAACTCGATCGGAGAGGTTTCTGTGAGGCCTTGAAGCTCGTGTTTTCCTCGTTGTGCAGCCCCGCATAAGCAATTCTGCGAAAAGTCCGTGGAAGTCAAAAACTTGCCCAATCGCAATGGCGCACGATCGGGCACAGTAGCCGACCGAGTAGCCGTGCCACGTCAACTGTCCCGAGTCCCAAAGGCAAAAGCTTCGATTGGGCGGCAGGACTCTGTGATAGGGAACTAAGCACCGTGAGCCGCCAAGTCCATTGCGATGCCTGCGGCTCCTGCCCGATGCCCAGAAAACAACGCCGCGCTTCTCTCGCTGCATCGCACCGCAGAGGCCGCTCAGCCGCTCAGGTTATCCGTCGGAGATCAAGGATTCCCACATTTGCGTGGAGAACGCAATGCGGCGCAACTGCCCCGTGTGCTTGCAGGACGCGGTGTCGGATGGTGGCCTATGTCATGATGTCACGTGATCGCTCTGGTGTTGTTTTCAGGACCTTTTCCAGTCCACAACGCAGGTGACGATCTTGCAGTGCGGACACACCATCCATCAGGCACCAGCTGGCGTAAACGGCAGCACTTGCTCGGCCGAGCTCTTCTGAGGATTGCCTCCGGGAGCTTCAGAACTCCTTTGCAGGCGCATGCGGGCCGCATGACGCACCGCATGGGCGCATGAGAGTCCCGCCGTGTGGCCGTCCCCCGAGGATTGCAGTCGCTGCGCTGTCCGATTTGCAGCGCCCGAGCCTCTGCCGAAGTCTGCCATGCCGCCTGACCGGGCCCCCGCCGGGCCTTCGAGGTGAGCCTCTATGGCTATGACGAGCTTTGGCATGAAATGGATCGTCAAATTGAAGAGACTCCCATGCCCTTGGAGTGCAGGCCTGTGTACTGTCTTGCTGTGCGCGCCCCTCGCTTTGCTGGAACCGCACTTAAGAGGCAGCTGACGAGCATTATCTGCAGCTTGGCTACAAGGTCTTTTCCGTGTCAGTACGTGCGACATCTGGTGCACTGTATGGCGCAGTTTGAGGCAACGACTGTCAGCGCTCATCATCAGTGGAGTACCACATCCTGGGGCAGAAGTGCCCCACATGCAGGTGAGGGGCCACATCGACGCTTGATGTCTGCGCAGTCTTTCGTCATGCAGCCTTCTTGCAGCCGGTTGCAGGTCCTACAACACCCGAAGAGTTTGAATTGCCGCAGACGTGCTTCCTGAAGCGTGAGAGGTTGCAAGGCTACTTGGCTTGCGGCTCAGCACTCAGCCGCCAAAGCCTGCGGCAGAGAGCGCCGTGGTGAAAGGCCGAAGCATCGGTGAGTGCTCCGTGTCGATGCCAGAGTCGCCCTGTGCGCAGCCGCTTTGGCAAAGGGAAGGCATCCCATAACCAGCTCTCTGGGCCAAATGGGCCAAACCCATGGCCATAAAGAATCACACATAGTAAGTCTGAAGAGAGAGCAGCTGCGGCCATGGCCAGCGGCGGCCGGCTGGGTCCAGGTCCGCCGCTGGGTGCTGCGGGGCACCGCCCAGGGCCGCCTAGGCCAGGCCTTGGGCCTCCGCGCTCCTCTCAGCCCGGAGCCCCAAAATTCACAAAAACCCGGACTTCGGGTCTCGCGTCTCGCTGTCGCCTCAGGTTGGTGGCCAGCGGCCGAGCCTCCGTGCAACGAGGCGCCTGCTTGGACCACTTTCCTACCATTATAGGAATTGCTTGGAAACCCAGATACCCCCCTAGCCGAGCCTGGGATTGCACCACCTAGGCACCAGGACACGTCGTGTGCCTGTCGAGCCTTCTCTCCTTGGAATCTCAGTGAGAAAAGAAGAGACGAGCGGAGAGGAGAGTCAGAGGCCGCTCTTGAGAAGACCAGAGAGATGCTTCCACCTTTTCTCGACCCCTCTCGGCCCAGCAGGTTCGCCAAGGCCAAGGCGGCTTTCGGGGTTCGGGAGTTCGAGCTAGGGCTCCCTCACCTGAGCGTCTCATCTCTTTCGAAAGCCTAGGGCCGAGAAAAGAGCCGAAGGAGCCCGCGAAGGCGCACACCGCCGCGCGCGCACCGCTTCGCTTTTCTGCAAGCTCTTTCTCCTAGAGCCTTCTGCGAGAGTCTTCAGTCGCTTCTGCGAGGTGCTGCTCGGCCCAAGAGGGGCCCAGACCCGGCAGCGCATGTGGGGGTTGTGGAGGCAGCGCCTTCGACCGCCGCGGACCGTGCGGACCGGCCGGGCCCGGCGGGCGGAAGCTCCGCAAGAGCTTTGCAAGCTCCGCAAGCTCCGCAAGCCACGCAGGCAGAGCGGCATGCGATGCGCCTCCCCGGAGTCGCAGTCGGAGTCGACTTGCAGGTGCCTTCTCGAGACAGAGACAGCCCCGAGCAAGGTGACCGGCCGGCGCAGGCCGTTTTCAAACGCTTGTGAGAGCCGGGGCGGAAGGCGGAGGGGTGGCTCAGTCTGGGACATCTGCCAGTCTCCGACGCGCTGGTCCCAAGCCGCCCGCCGCACGTGCGACTTGGACGAGGAGCTGGCCATGGCTGTGCTGGAGCAGGAGCTCAGGGCCACTCAGGGCAAGGGGCAGCTAAGAGCACGGAACCCGCCGGGCCGCGACATGCGTTTCGCCTTTGCAGGATCTCCATCAGCAGGAGCGTCGGCAACAACACGAAGCGCAGCTGCGTGCCGAGGATGGTGCCCGGGTACTCGTAGGGCCTGGTGATAGGACGCCGCGAAACTTCCAAAAAGCCCATGACGCAAGAGCAGTGCGGCACTGAAGGCGTTGCTAGCAAAGCGAAGTTAGTTCCGTCTTTGACACTCCGTGAAAATATCTACAGCCTTAGCGCCGGGGTCATTAACATAATACTTGAAGCAAAACTTGCAGTTGCGAGTTGGGGCTCCGTCGTATTGCCGAATCCACTACATACTTTTTTCGACTGTGACGAACACAAGTCATCCGATGCTACGTACTTTGTCGTACTACAAGCCGTCCGACAGGACGAGCTCCTTGCGATGGTGCTGGCTCTCAGTCTCGCGGAGGAACCAGACTGTTTCAGCCGCAAAGGGCATGCAATATGCAATCACGGCTGTGAGGACGCAAGTGGCCGGATTCAACAGGTCGACGCTGTTTCTTGTTTTCCTTGCTTGAACGCGGCGCGTGACCATAGGAAGCTGAGATGGCCTTGCCCAGAGCTCAGATCAGAGCGGTGGAGAGCAGCGAGAGAGGGAGAGCAGCTTCCAGAGATCAGTCGTTTCGCCTCCCCAGGAGTGGCGCCAGCAGCAGGGCGAGAGCGGCGGGCCGTGCCGCCGTTTGGCGCCTAGTGGGCGCTGCTGCTGTGCGTGAATTTACCTAGCTTTGAGAAAATCGGAAGGAAGTCCGCGCACGGCTTCCCGTGCAGGAATGGCAGGCCCTGCGATGAGGGCGAACTTTGGGGCAGGGAGGGTCCGGGAGGGTTGCTGGCATTGTTGCTTTTGGCTTTGCTGTACCTCGAGGCCGGTTCTTCGTCCACCGAGTGCGCTTTGTGCCTGGACGAGTTTTCTCCGGGGGACAAAGTCACGCGGCTTTTCTGCTTTCACGCCGCTCGGATGCTCCGAGAGCTCTGGCAACTACATCACTACATCACTATTCGTACCGACACCACTCGAGGCCTTCCACAGCGACTGCCTGGAGCCTTGGCTGAGGCGTTCAGAGACTTGCCCCACGTGCAAAAGGCACCTCCTTGACCACATGGAGCCCGAATGAGAGGAGTGAGCTTGAGTGAGCTTCGGGCTGCGCAATGTCGCGGCCTGGAATCGCAGCAAAATGAGCCTCGAAGTGTTCTTTGTCTCGCAGGTTCCGCCGTTCCGCCCTTGCATCTGAGCAATCTTGCATTTCGGATCCAAGCTGGGGCAGGGATCCCCAGGGACGCGAGGGCAGAAGTGCAGCTGGGTCGCCAAAGGCCTGCATTCATTCTGTGAGCACGGCAGGGCAGAGCAGGTTTGTGTTTGGTCCTGCGTCTGTGCCCCGTGCCCGGAGCAGCCAGGCGGAGATGAAGGAGACGTCTACATACCTGCTGGCCTCTTGCCTCGAATTCTAAGGCTCTTTAAGGACTTATAAAGAAGAAACATGCAGCAGAATGGTCCACCCAACAATCGTGCCTGCATGTCTTACAGAGTCTTATGAAGAAACCCCATGGGCTTGGACTGTGGGGAGGGGGGGGCTTTTGCTTCTCAGAACCGCGCCAGCGTCCTCTTCGGCCGCCCCTCCTTCCGGAAGCCGCAGGCGACGAGATTTCCTGTCGTCTCAGCCTCCCCTTTGTACCTATAGACTCGTTACACCTTTTCTTCTCTCTCTCCCTCTCTCTCTCTGGCGCGTGTGCGCGGCCTTCCTTGGTCTGGGCGCGGGAGGCGCAAGCTGAGCCCGAGCCGAGCTGCTTCGAGGGGCCCGGCACCCAGCCGCTGGCGGCCGTGGAGTGTGCCCCCAGATTTCGATCTCCCTCTCTCTCTCTCTCTCTCTCTCTGTCTGTCTGTATCTCGTCTTTCTCTCAAGGAGAGACTTCCGAGCTCGCAGTTGCTCGCAGTTGCTGCTCGCAGTTGCTGCTCGCAGTTGCTTCGCCCGCTTTCTCGGCTACCCCAGCGGCAACACCAAACAAATTGCCGTGACCTACGGCGAGAGGAAGGCGCGGAGCGCGCGCGGAGAAGCGCGGAGAAGAGCGGCTCCGGCTCCGGCGGCGGTCGCCCCGTGCGCCGCAGGCCCTGACCTCGCTGCCCGCGCCGCGCGAATGGGCTCCGGCCTCGGCTCGCGGAGCCGCGGAGCGAAGTGAAGCGAAGTGCGAATGCAATCTGCGCCGCGCGGAATCTGCGGTCAGTGCTGTAACTTCGCTGCGAGGCCGAGCTGCCCTCGGAGAAGCGCTCAGGGATCCAGGTGGAGGCACCCCGATGTTTTTGGAGGGAACCGGTTCGCGTCTTTCATCGCAGAGAGAGCCGAGAGCTTTGGCCCGGCCCCCGCCGGCCCCCGGCCACGTACCAGAGGTGGCCTCCCACGCCAAGGAGCTAAAGGGCTGGATCAACCAGGACAGGCGGTTTGCCTCTCTCCCTCTCTCCCTCTCTTTGCGGATGAAGGCTCGAGAATGCAGAAGCGCCCCCTAGGACGCGGCCCTGGCCGTGCTGCCGGCCGGCTGCAGTGCCACAGCACCTCGGACCTCGCCACCTAAAGAAGATCTGCAGCAAGGCAGCGAAGAGCGCAGCTGAGGGAGACGGGAGCAGCGGCACCTCCGGGCCTCTCTTCCTCTTCGGCGTCTTCGATGGCCTCTCGGATTTACACGCTGAAAGTTGGTTTGAACTTGAACTTGTCGTCGATGAGATTCTGTTGGCGGTGTGGGCCGTGGTGATGTTTGCCGACTCGTCTCTCCAGCTCTGCCACTGCTGCATCGTGGCTGCTGCTGCTTTCCCCCTCCCCTCCAAATGATGGGCATGGTGAGGGCACGTTTTTGTGACCATGAGGTTGATTACGCTGCTGATGATGCTCATAGTTTCTAGTGATGACCGTGATGTTGAAGCTGCTGCTGCTGATGATAATGGTGGCGATGGCGGCGATATGCGGCGATGATGCTCTGTGTTTTTGGTGAGCATGCAGAAGATGACGAGGAGAGTGCTGCGTGGTGGTGGTGGTGGTGGTGGTGGTGGTGGTGGTGGTGGTGGTGGTGGTGGTGGTGGTGGTGGTGGTGGTGGTGGTGGTGGTGGTGGTGGTGGGTTTCGTGGTTTGCTGGGTTTGCTGGGTTTGCTGGGTTTGGTGGTGGTGGTGCTGGTGCTGGTGGTCGTGGTGGTGCTGCTGGGTAGTGGCTGGTGGTGGTGGTGGTGGTGGTGGTGGTGGTGGTGGTGGTGGTGGTGGTGGTGGTGGTGGTGGTGGTGGTGGTGGTGGTGGTGGTGGTGGTGGTGGTGGTGGTGGTGGGGGTGGTGGTGGTGGTGGTGGTGGTGGTGGTGGTGGTGGTGGTGGTGGTGGTGGTGGTGGTGGTGGTGGCGGGGGAGAGTTGGCAGTGGCGGGTGGGGGCGGGGGCGCGGGCGGGGGAGGGGGGTGGTGATTATGTTGACGGTGGTGATGGTACCGGCTTGTCTTTGTTTGCTGTTGTTGCATGATGCTGCTGGTGCATTAACTAGAGAGGAATGTGCTCCCAATGATGCTTATAATGCTCGCTTACTCGCAGTGCCTCCAGTGCAGGAGCCATTTGCACCGCTGGCCCTGTTCCATCACCGTTCGAGTTGAGGGATTCGCGAGGGGGGAAGGCTTCAAAGCCGAGTCCCACAACTCACTCTTGAGAAGTCTTTGAAAGTCATAGTGTTGCACAGATGTTGACTTCAACGTGTCAGGTGTCCCTGCGCTTCATGTGCTGCACTGCATTCATTGACGCATAGGCCGCATAGGCAATCTGGCATGAACACATGTCTATCACAGCACCCAGTCGGGTGAGGAAGTACGCAGGGATCAATCACGGGACATCACCGGGAACCACCTGGACCTGGACGCCAAGTACACCTGATCTTCCAGCTATGCCCAGGGGATAAAGGTTATCTTGGTGATCTACATACTCCTCGCACCGTACCACCCATCTGAATCTGAACCCTGAGTCCAAAACGTCGAAGATATACATCACGTCTCTGCAGGGCTGTCTCTCCAATCAAACCATGCTGAGCAACAGTATCACCTCCGACTATTGCCCTGAGAACTCGCATACATGCAACTCCACTCGTCGGTCATGTATTTTCACGGGCTCTGGATGACTCCGGTCTCTGCGAAAAGCAGGGCTTCCTGCGCATCGGAAAACTCAGACAGTGGGAACTGTCTCCAAAATCCCGGAAAAGGCAGCCTGTGAAGCAGTTGATCCTCCGGTTTCCGTCTTTGAGGGAATTCGCGCGACCAACGGCCATTGGTGGCAGCGCTTTGATCTCGGAAAGCGAGGTGAGTGGACGGGCTTGTCCACCAGGCACCCGGCCGAAACCTCGGTCCGAGTGCTGCTGCCGCAAAAGCTCGGGAAACTACAACGACTCGTATAGAATCATAAGACATATGTGTGGGGCGCTAAAGCAAATCCTGCTTCCTTATAAGACTTATTGGGCGGGGGACTAAAACAAATCTCAAATCCTGCAGTCCTTTTCCTTTACAAGACTGATTGGGCGGTATACTAAAGTAGATACAGACTTATTGGATAGGATACTGAAATAAATGTCGTCTGCTCCTAAGACCTGCGGGTGGGACCCTAAATCGACACTAGAGTAAATCCTACTTCCTTGTCAGACTCATACGATGGGATACTACAACAAATCGCGGAAAGTCATACGATCTGCGCTTGAGGCGCTGGGGCGTGTCATGTTTGTTCATAAGAATTATTGGGCGGAATACATTTTTCAAATCCTGTAGTCATGCTCCCTTATCAGATCTATGAAGTGGTACTTGAAAATGAATCCTATGCAAGACATATTGGATAGGACTCTAAAATAAGTCCTGTCTGCTCATAACACGGACGGATGGGACATTGAAGCAATTCCTATTCCTTAAAGGATGTATCGGGTGGGACACCAAAATAAATCCTGTCTGCTCATAAGACCTATCGGTGGGACACTAAAGCACATCCTGCCTTCTTTTTCACGTAGGTCTTCGGAGCAGACAGGATTTGCTTCAACGTCCTACCCAATAAGTTTTCATCTGCTTTAATATACCGTCCCACCCCTTGGTCTTATGGTTATACACGATTCGTTGTAGTTTCCCATCGTATGAGTTTTATGAGGAACTAAGATTTACTTTGGTATCCCATCTGTCCTTTCTTTAGTGTCTCTCCCAAAAACTCGTGCAAGGAAGCAGGATTCGCTTTAGTATCCCACCCGTAGGCCTCATGAACAGGCAGGATTTGCTTCAGTATCCCACTCAATAACTCGTTTAAGGAAGCAGGATTTGCTGTGGCGAACTTCCTGTTGGCCGTATGAGCAGACAAGGTTTAGTATCCCATCCAATCAACTTAATAAGCAAGCAGGATTTGCTTTAGTGTCCCACCCGTCGATAGTGTGAGCAGACAGGATTTGCTTTAGTGTCCCACCGATAAATATCATGAGCAAGAAGCAGTATTTTTAGAATTCCAGCCGTACGTCTCATGAACAGATAGGATTTGCAGTAGTCCCCCACCCACTAAGTATTCTCAAAAAACAGCAGTTGTTGTAATATGACAAAACATAAGCCTTCTAAGGAAATCAGATTTGCTTTTGTGTCCCACCCAATAAGTCTGATACGGGAGCAAGGTTGCACGATTGGCGTTAGTATCCCGCCAAATAAGTCTGATAAGGAAGCAGGATTTGCTTTAATGTCCCACCCCATAAGCCTGCTGAGTGAGCAGGATTGCAGGATTTGCTAATCAGATGAGCAGACAGGATTTGCTTTAGTATCCCACCCAAAAAGTCCTATAAGGAAGCAGGATTTGCTTCAGTGTCCCATGTATAGTATAGGTCTTATGAGCAAACAGTCTGACACCCAAAAAGATTAGGGATCCTAAAGTGGCACTAAAGTAATCCTGCTTCCATATAAGACTCATACGACGGGACACTATAAGAAATCGTTCAAACTATACGACCTACGACTGAGATACTGAAGCGAATCCTACTTGCTTATAAGGACCATTGGGCGGAATACTAAAGCAAATCCTGCAGCCCTGCTCCCTTATGAGACCTATGAGGTGGGATTCCCAAAAAAGATCTTGTATTTTAATAAGACTTATTGGG